CGCTTCCCCCTCATGCTTTCACACCTCTGGATCAGCCTCCCTTGCATCCCAGATCTTTCAAACAAGTCTGTTCCTCCCGCCAGTAATTGCTCTCAGTCCTTCTCCACTGAACATTTTTCTTGTGGCTCACGCTACAGTTTAAACACAGTCCGATCAAAAAATAACCGTAAAACCAGTAAGATCCCAGCCCAACACAACTGCAACGGTCTCCTCACTCTTGTGTTGCATTCCTTCCTCCAGTTTATAGTTATTCTTGCTCTGTTTTCCATCCTGCCCCCCCCCCAGTTTAAAGGTCTTCTGGCCTGTAAGGTCTGTGCTTTTCCTTTTTTTTAATCTTACATAGATTATATCCGATTTTTCTTGCCGAGGTTGTTATCAAACAATGAAGGAGTTAAATTCTGCGAAAGAATTGAATGAAGGGTTTGGTAGGCTGTTTGCACATATCAAAAGACAGGCAGGCACACAAGGTTTGAGAACAGGATGACCATCCTTGAAGCTATATAGACTGATTCATTGGAAAACTGCCCAGTGAGAGTTGGCCATCCTTGAAGGGGAAACATCCCAGAAAATGCATAAACTTCGTTCTCATGTTTTAGATTGTCAGCATGTGCAGCAGTAACTGGAGGAAAGGCAATTCCAGCAGGGGGAGATGGCGACCACTGACTCATGGACCACCTACCCTAAACGTATCCCAGACCCAAAAGAAAGGGGCGGAGGCAATGGGCTGGGCATGCGAAGTAATTTACATGCTGGGCGAGAAAACGAACCAGTTGTTTAAGAGAATAACACTGAATATGTACGATTTTGGGGAAACGTTATGAATATGTATGATACCAGTGTATAACTAAGATTCTGTCCCGGGTGTGCATTCTGGATGGAGATAAATCTGCTCTGGCTCTGCAATAAAGCAATGCCTGCTTTGTAATGCTACAAACTGTGTTAGAGAGTTTCCGTCTGCATTTTCAATGACAAGGTCACTTTCCTGTTCTACCATCAGAGTCCTTACACCTGACAGCACACACTTCTGCCTCGGGAATGTGATAGGTACATAAGAGTCTGAACAAGGGCCCCCACCCTATACACCAAGCTAAGCTGTGCCGACATTTCAGTCAAAACCTTTTGACTCTGTACACTTTGTGGACACAAGACCATACCGCCCAAGCCCACGTTTACTGATAGTACGGATGGGGCAGGGATACATGCCCACAAGTATCCTCTGCTTTCACAGTGTCATGATGCTAACGCTGGTCAAGGAGTCTTTTCTAAAATTGCTCTCGCTTGGCCTGCAGAGGTTTGTGCGCTGCCTGAGCGAGCATCGCCCCAAGAGGGATGTGTGGATGCCTTCAGCTGAGAAACAGGAGTTTTTCCTGCAACTTGTAAAGCTGTCAAGGAAGAAGATGGTGATGAAACTTCTGGCACAGAAAGTCTCTAAGCTGTTGCTTGCCAGCAGCTGGGAAATCTCACAGGAAGGATCACTGTGTGTTGTCTTGCTTTTTTTTATGCTTCCCCTGCACAAGGATGCTGTTGGAGAAATGGCACTAGGTGAGACGGCATTGCTTCCTTCTGTTCCTACACACCTGCAGGGCTGGGGCAGGGAATGTGGCAGTCTCCAGTGTCGCTGCTTGCCTCAAAGAACGTCTTCCTTTGTGGGCTAAGCACATTGGTTATTGCTTTTCCCCAAAAGTAAAAAATACCACAGATTAAATAAAAATTGAATGTTCAACTGTTCCAATGGCAGTGGAAATCCCACTCATATTCTGCCTGCTGCTACCAGCTCTCTCTGTCCTTCCTCAGGCTCCTTCATCTCCCCAGAAGGAAACACACAGATTTTGTTTTGGTTTTATTCCACCATTTATTTCTTCTGTTTCTCCCTCGGATTTCCACTCCCTTGCTCGGGACACACATACTCAGTCTCTAAACAGGCACACGTATGTCTATATATACAGTAAGGCACAATCACTCACATCCAGATGGGACACTCTGCTGAGAGAAGAAACGGGGTACAGGGGATGATTGCAGCCTGCCCTGGAATACAAGCTTCAACAAACAGATTAAAATGGATTCAAAGGCAACAATGCTCCACAACATGGCTCAAAAGGATGTGGGGGTTGTCTTTGCCAACAAGCCCGTGCTACACCAGAGGGGCAACACCTCTGGCTCTCAGCAAATGACATCTCAGTGCTCTCACCTGGGAAAAAGAAAGGCAGGGCACAGAGCCACTTCTTTCCTCGTGATTTTAGAGGCGGTGGACAGAAAGGGGATATCCCTCAAAACCATGGGGTTTGTAATGCTGCTGTGTTTCAGAGCCCACTTGAGGATGGATGTGGGCTGTGTTGTGTAAAATGCTTTTGCCTGTCCACAGGGAGAGGGAGAACCCAAGCCTCTGATTTTGCTCACCTTAACATTTGCTAGGAGGAGCTTTGGGACAGAGGGAGGAGTTGGCTGGTTCTGCCTTTGGTCTCTGTAGCTGCACCTTTGTTGCTGGGTACTAGGTGGGTGGCGGCGGGTTCAAGCACTCGCCCCTGGCCGTTCGCATCACCTAACAGCTAGCTGACTCCTTGGCTCAGCTTTGGACAAGTCTGGCTCGCTGTCTCCAGCAAGCCCGGCCTTGTCCACAACTCCACGCCACGCTGTGGACATGAGCCCCATGACCTTGAGCCAGAGCAGCTTTTTTTTCAGCACCGCAGATACAGCTTCAAGCACTACTGTCAGGAAACTGGTCAGGTGAGGGTCTGTTCTCTGTCTTTCCCTGCATAACTTATTCCTTACGGGCAACAAATACTCTCCAGATGTGATGTTTTTTTGGCTTAGCAGCTGCTAGACCCATGACTTAACCAGTACCCCAAGAGTAAATGCAAATCTAGTGCAATGCCTGAGTACTTAGGAGGGACTCGCTACCTGGCCTTCGCCAATTCATATTCAGCCAGGCCATCCACCTGGAAGCTGAGCCATCTAAGACCTCTTATGCGACCTACATAAAATCAATCAGCTGTTCCCAGTAAGCCAGGATGCTTTCCACCACGAGTGGCACTCGGTGACCACACACTGACAATTTCAAAAGAGAATAAAAAGATCAGATAGGGCCTGGAAGTGAGACAGACTGATGGACAGGCAGCCCTTCTAAATCTGGACTGGAGCCCAGAGCCAGATAAGAAAATTTGCCCTGTTGTCCTATGCAGCTCGTCTTTTCTGTGCATCAAATCTGTTGCTTGTTACTGTCCACCAGCACTAAAACCACCCCAAAGTTGAAGCACATAGAAAAATTGCCTACCACAGCTGGCTGTTTCACAGATCAGCCAGCTGGACCCCCACTTCGAAGGGATTTTATGCTTTATGAACAGTGTCCTAAGAGTTTTCCCTGTGTTCAGGGTTCACATTGTCTGCCATACAGCATATATGGAGAAAGCATACCTTTTCCTACTGTTAAAACATTATTTACTGAAATTTGAAACCCCAAAATATTTCAAAAGAAGCTACCAAAAAGGCACCATACATGTATGTATGTAATTGATGAACTTCATCTAAGACCAATGCAGGGGAGAAGAAAAAGACATTTTGGAGCAGTATGGAAGAGCACAGGGACCAGGAGTGGTGGTTCTGTGGAGAACACAAATCAGATTTCTCAGTCCCAGAATGTTGCTGAGGAACGTCAGCCAACACCTCCGTTTTGAACTCCGAAGCAATTGCAAACCAGTCTCTTGTTCCGACCATCCCAAAATATGATGGTGCAAACCAGAGAGCCAGCGAGCAGCCACTCAGCTCCTGGGATTGAGTCTGGACCTCGGGGGATATCCGTATTCTGCTCCTGTCCAGCCACTGAAGGTTTTCCAGTAGCTTCCATCTTGATTAGGTTAGATGGCTCCTATCACATATGAAGTCTCCTGTGCCCTGATTGGGTATGTCCTTTTGAGAGGGGAAAAGTAAAGAAATGACGAAAAATAATCATGGGTCTAAGTAAATAAATAATGCTCCAGGAAGACCTTCTAGCAGCCTTCCAGTACTTAAAGGGGCCCTACAGGAAAGCTGGAGAGGGACTTCTGACAAGGGTATGTAGTGATAGGACAAGGGGCAATGGCTTTAAATTGAAAAAGGGGAGATTTAGACTAGATATAAGGAAGAAATTCTTCACTCTGAGGGTGGTGAGGCACTGGAACAGGTTGCCCAGAGAAATTGTGGATGCCCCATCCCTGGAAGTGTTCAAGGCGAGGTTGGATGAGGCTTTGAGCAACTTGATCTAGGGGAAGGTGTCCCTGGATATGGCAGGGGGGTTGGAACTAAGTGATCTTTAAGGTTCCTTCCAACCCAAACCATTCTATGATTCTATAAATACAGTGCTGGAGAGTCTGCGACCTGGGGGTACTTCAGGAGTTTCCATGCTAGGAGGCAAAGGCAAGGAGCAGCCTGAGCACCAGCCTGCTTCCTTCAGTTGCTCCTTGCCAAACCAAGGAGGCATCTGAAGAGAGGACAGGTGGTTGAGGTGGAATGAGATATTTCCTCAGGCATCTGTGGCTACATTATCAGTGGCTAGAAAATACATAAGAAGCTACATGGAACAAGCGCCGCTTTAGCCAGTGGAAATACTCTTTTATTTCAAGTGGCAGAGATCTGTGCTTGCGTGCTTCCAGAGCTGACCGTAACACTGATATGTGTGCAAACACTATTTCTGCTGGCAAAGCTAACGAGCTAAACAATTAGAGAAGAGAGAAAGAGAATATATATGTATGCATGTATATATACAACGTGTGCACACAAATACATATAAATAGGTATATGTAAGGAGGCATATTGAGATAGTATAGACATGGTTACTGCTGAGGAAAAGTGCTTTTTACTGTAACAACTTTCAAATTGCTCTCAAAGAGATTTGATGCTTTTGAGGTGTGGGGAGCAGCAAAAATGTTGGTGTGTTCTGTCACAGTTGCTATTTTCATTAATAAGCAAAACCCTCTGGTATTTTGGGAGCCATCATCATGCTGACCCGTCTTACCTGCGTGTCACGGTTACGCTGTGCCCTGGTCCTGTGCGGCTGATGTTGAAGGCTCACTGGCAGTCTCTAAGCCCACTGTGTCCTGCAGTGGTTCGGGTGCCAGTGGTGTTTCTTCAGTGTCTGATGTTCTCCGTACGTCTGTGCTCTCACTGGTCTCCTTTGCTTCAGCTTCAGCTTCTTCCTTTTCTTTGTCCCTCTTTTCCTGTTCACAGGCACTGCCTTGCTGATCTTCTCCCTGCAGACCCTCACACACCCTCTCCTTGTTTCCAGAGGGAGGCTGGGGAGAGTTGTCCTCCCCTGGGGCACCATGACACGCTTCCTCCTCCTTTGAATCCCCTGCGTTACTCTTGCAAGGAGTAATTTCCTCCGCCTGTTTTTCCCCTTTTTCTTCATCTTCTAATCTGCTGGATCCTCTCCTTGATGGGGGCTTCTCATCAGACCTTGTCTGTTTATTTTTCTCTTTGTCCTCTGTTTCTGCCTCCTCTGTCTTGCCCTTGGGCCCAAACACCTCATCCCCATCTTCCTTAGCACCATTTTCTGGAGAGGAGATGTTGACCCCTAAATCTTCCCCATCTCCACACTCCGACAGAGATCTTCGGAACTTCCTGGAGGGAGGCCTGCGCTTTATCGATCCCCGCGTCCGCACCTTGGAGGCAGGAAAAGCAGACATTGAAGCAAAGAGAGTGGTACTGCAAGGCAGGAAAGCACAACAGAGGAAGATAACCATGGGCAACTTGATTGCTATGCTGGTGGCCTCACTTTTCCTGCTATGCTACTGAGAGGCAGGGAGACGAGGTCTCCCCTGAGAGACTATTTTAGAGGACAAGCAGCTACCTAATATATGCCTCTTGATTAAAAAAAAAAAAAAGCTGATGCTGGAGATCACTGTCCCAATTTAAACTGTGGCTCCTTGTCCAAGTTAGACCCTAAATCCAAGGACAGTGTATTCATTATGCAGATGCTGCTGACTTTTGATGTCTCAGCCTTTTCTACTCTTGGCAGTTTGGTGGTTGAGGAAGAAGTCTGCACTCCAGTTGATGATGGTGAATGCAGGTTACAGTCCCCATTTAAGTGCTGTGCACTCTGTGGGACACCTGGCAAACTGTCGTGCTCTGTGTGGCTCCCTAAACTGCACCTCAGCCACCGCTGGCATTTGCTGGCACATGGCACCACCTCCTCACAGTGCACCCTGCCCAGGTACCAGCCACCCTGTTATTGCTGAGCTGAAGTGACTGGGATGATGGTGAATGCAGGTTACAGTCCCCATTTAAGTGCTGTGCACTCTGTGGGACACCTGGCAAACTGTCGTGCTCTGTGTGGCTCCCTAAACTGCACCTCAGCCACCGCTGGCATTTGCTGGCACATGGCACCACCTCCTCACAGTGCACCCTGCCCAGGTACCAGCCACCCTGTTATTGCTGAGCTGAAGTGACTGGGCCCTGCCACTTCATCCCTTCCCTTTACCCATTTGGCCAGGAAGGCTGCTGGAGCTGCTGGACCATGAAGCTCCACGTGCAGGCGGGCAGAGAGGAGACTCCACAGAGCTACACTGACAGGCTGTTTCGAACCTGGCACATAGATCCCCTCCCTTGGCTACAAACGCACGCTGTTGTGGCAGGACTGAGGGCTGCAGCCTCCACCTCCTCTTCATCCCCAAGTGATAAGCAAGCCTTATCTTGCTGTGATGCAGAAATCCTAGCACATACCCTACCTTATTATAGAATTGCAGCTGAGTGCCTTCTGGGGGTTGATCAAAGCTGACCGGCGTCTCATTCGCTTCACGGGGCTGGGACTGAATCCCCGGGCTGGTGGGCGTTGAGGGAGGGGTGGTGAATGGAGAAACCATGGCTTTCAGACCAGGGCTTTTGGGAGACGCTCCCGGCAGCAGAGCAGCTGGAGCAAAAGCCAGATTGGCCTGCAAAGAGAAATCCTCGTCACGGGTGTGCACGACACCAGCATGTGCTACATGCGGCCACCACACGGAGGAACCCTTGCTCTTGCCGCGGGAGATGCCGCATCTCTCAGCTGTCACAACCCGCATACCTTCTGGTTACGGTTCTCTCCTGGTGACACTGTCAACAAACAAGTCCGGGCAGAGAAGTTATGACTGGACATTTGCCCTTCCCCAGCAGCTGGATCTCAGAACATGTCCTTTTGTCATCCTGAAGCCTCTTGGGATTTTCCAGTGACCCAGCCAAGCCAGCACACTCTACAATGGCTGAGCCAGGAGAAAGTCTGAACAAACAGCCAGCCCCCGCTTCGAGATTTAAACCATCCCTGTGTGTGCCCAAGCAGATCTCGCAATTTGAAGCCTGGTCTGCAGGTCTTCTGAATTATCTGCGCAGTCATAAGGAGCGAGAAGACCATGGAAAGAAGCAAGCTTGTGATTAACTGTGGCAAAACACTTCCTGCTGGCCTGTCACTAAGACGCTCTTGTAGGCAAATGTCCTCAGCTGCATTAAGAGGCACAGTGCTATGAATAGGTCTATGTTGTGTCAGGGTGGCCAGGAGGCATTGAGCTCTGGAGTCAGACGTTGCCAGGAGAGACAGCTGGCAGCGGCAGGGCACTATGTCTACGGGCTATCGAGTGCTGAGCTGCCCTCAGCGGCATGAATCGGGCACTGCGGAGAGATACAAAAAGGGCAAGAAGCACTGGGTGTGTTTGTGCATAACTGGGGGAATCGGGGTGAGGGAAATGCTGAGCTTCCAGGCACATGCAGGGGAATGCCAGAGCCTGGAGTGCGCTCCCCACCACCAGGATTGTAGCTGCCTGCACTCAAGGCCAGCTCCCTGATAGGGTGCAGGTGACTGAGTTTGATTTAGACTGCTGTGAACAATGAGCTGGAAGAAGCCTCAGCCAGGGTTTCCCTCACTTTCTCTCGTGAGCTGCGTTTAAACTGTGGCTCCTGCCCCTGCTCCCTATCTGAGCTGTGCTGCTGCCATGCCCATGCCCAGCCAGGTACCCCGCAGATCCAAATGATCCTGACCCAGGCACTGATCTGCCTGAGGATCGCTGGGATGTTTCTGACGCTGTTTACTATTACCAGACCTGCTCTGCCTTCCTTGTTTGTGTTTTGTGGGTCTGGGCCCTCATTGGTGAGGCCCTGTCACTCTTGGCTCCTGAATCCCTTTCCCCTGTGGCTGCTCTGCAAGGAAAGTAGTTATGACAAATGTCAATCAATTTTAATTTGCTGGGGCAGCCGTGTGGGCTCTTCCAGTACCTACCTGCAGCTTTTCAATCATAGGGGAGCTTTTCACCTTGACCTTGGGAATGGGGCAAGCATTTGGAGACCGCTTCTGCAAAACAAAATGAAACATGAAAAAGTCACAGTGAAGTAGGTGAAAAAGGAAATAAAATGAAGGCAGAAAACTTGGATGAGAGAAACAGAAAGTACTAGTAGGGAAGCAAATGAAGCCTCATCTACGGTCTTCACACAGAAGTTTTCTTTATTCTTTCCTGACCCTGCTCCCCTTTTGTTATCTAGCCATCGTAGGGCTCTACATACATGTATTCTTCCTTTGAGAGAAAAGGGGATTGTCCGCTTTCTGGTGGAAGTATCTCAGTTAGGTCATGTGTAATGGCTCTTCTGCTGTATGGCCTTCACTAAGGTATCTAACTGTTCAGATTAAAATTGACAGATTAAAATTCCACCTCTTAAAGGGTACAAACCTTAATGTTGGTAAACATTGTGAACTTTTTTGACGGTAAAGACTTTCTGCCACCACTTGACTAATAGAATTAAAGGGTATCCAATTAGTACGGGCAGGAAAGGCCTAAGTGACTGGAAAGGTAGAGCTATGAAAGGCTGAAAACAGTTTCATAGAATCATAGAATGGCATAGGCTGGAAGGGACCTTAGAGATCATCTAATCCAACCTCCCTGTCATGGGCAGGGACGCCTCTCAACTAGATCAGGCTACTCAAGGCTCCTTCCAACCTGGCCTTGAACACCTCCAGGGAGGGGGCATCCACAACATCCCTGGGCAACCTATTCCAAAGTCTTGCCACCCTCGTACTGAAGAATTTCTTCCTAAAATCTAATCTAAATCTGTTCTCCTTCAACTTAAACCCATTTCCCCTTGTCCTATCAGTGGACACTCTTGTAAAAAGTCCCTCCCCAGCCTTCCTGTAGGTTCCCTTCAGGTATTGGAAGGCAGCTATTAGGTCCCCCCGAAGTCTTCTCTTTTCAAGGCTGAACAATCCCAGCTCCCGCAACCTGTCCTCGTAGCAGAGGTGCTCCAGCCCCTGGATCATCTTTGTGGCCCTCCTCTGAACACGCTCCAACAAATCTGTGTCTCTCTTATGGTGGGGACACCAGAACTGGACGCAGTATTCGAGGTGGAGTCTCACAAGAGCAGAGTAAAGGGGAAGAATCACCTCTCTTGACCTGCTGACCACGCTTCTCTTGATACATCCCAGGATGCGGTTGGCCTTCTGGGCCACATGAGCGCACTGCTGCCTCATGTTGAGCTTCTCATCTATAAACACCCCCAAATCCTTCTCTTCGGGGCTACTCTCAACCCACTCTGTGCCCAGTTTGAGAAAGGGAGAGCGTTGCTTTGAGAAGGGGCATATTGCTTTTTTCAGGCTCAAAGCAGAAGGAAGAAATCTAAGATTTTAAAGCTTGTGCTCCTTTAGCATGGAGGCAGCAAGAGCCTGTAGCTGTCAGAAAAGGCGGAAAAAGAATCACCTCCTTGTTAAGGGCAGGTGACAATATGAAATTTGGTGGGTAGACCTCATACCCTGAAATACAGAAGGACAGAATTGACTGGAAAGGGCCTGACCATAAGCTTTAGGGAGCAGCAGACAGCTTACTGGTACCTGCTCATTCAAAGCTGCTGTACAGACAACACCTCAAGACAATATTCTATGGGTATTGCTGACAAAACCCTTCTTCACTCTGGATTAATTATTCCCTTTTTCTGAAGAAGGAAACATCTCAAGAGTGGAACTATTACGCCATTATACTGAAACCTCTAGAGTTGATTTGAAGGCAACGAACAGCATGGATGCTCCCTGTGCTAAGCGCCGTTCAAATCTAATAAATGCCAGCAGTTCCTGCTTTAAAATGCTTGAAAGGTGGTAACTGAGTGGATGCCTTAGTGCTCTAAGGGTAAAAAAATAAGCAGTAGAAATGGGATGTGTATCCATGCTACAGGAGTGGGAGACAGTGTGGAGCTGACTCTGAGTCAGTACATGGGTGTGAGCAGGGGAAGGTTTGATGCTGCCTGACTAGAATCGCAGAATCATAGAATCATTTAGGTTGGCAAACATTGTTGTCTTTTGCTGCACAGACTGAACTCTCTTCTATCTCCAAGCTCATGTCTCAGGAGAGAACAGGTTGCAAAGAGGAGAGACCTTATTCCCCTATTAAATTCATACTCACTTGCTCATCATTGTCACTTGTCTCAGTTTTGTGGGAATACAATGGAAGGGAGCATGGTGGTTTCCTCCGAGTTGGCTTATGTGGTGGTACCTAAGAGAAGAAAACAACTTCTTGACTCAGCAGCAGGGCAATCAGTTTTTTTAAAAAACGAAGTGAAATGCAAGCACCAAAGGACATGCTCTGTAAGTGACCTGCTTCGATGGTAGGGCTCAGCTTGCCTAAAGGAGTCATCCAGAGGCAGCACAAGATATCAGCGTATGGGCATGTGGGTAGGCTGGTGCCGAAAAAGTAGTCTACATCTCTTTCCACAGCATGAACTACGACACTTCCAGCTTTGTGCAAAGGATGTTTTTCTAAGCTGTGGAGGTTGGAGAAGCCTTCCCAGAAGCTTCATCTTCAAAGTATCCTGCTGGAAACTCCCTCATACTGGAATAGCTTGTTATTGTTCTCTTTCTTGTCTTATTAGCAGGACTTCCTTTTAATGAATCTCAGCTGCCTACCTGGTTCGTGATTTTCCTGTTTTGCTTCTCATATATTTTAGGGGCAAAAAGGGGAATTCTGACTTTTTCGATATGCCCTACAGCCCCATTTGTTTCTCTCTAATGAAGAAGAGCAGCTAGCAGAGACAAGTCCTCAGCTGTAACCTTTAATTTGACTAAGAAATGGATTCTTCAGGAGAGAAGGAACAAGGCAACCTAACAGCAGAGACGCTGGTTCCTTCTGAATGTCCTTAGGCTCTCAGAAGCATGAGAGTGCTCACTAGGAAGGAAGAGACAGATAGCACAGCACCTATGGAGTTGCTCCTTCATAACTATTGCTCAGGTCTTGAAGCCAAGCTCTCTCAATTTTTATGCCAGGTTTGTAGTCTCTGGCCAAGCCATTAACTCAGATACTATTGTGGATCTTGGATAATATCCACAATATAATATTTGGATAATTTTGTTACTTTCCAACAGACAAGCATGTGGAAAGTTGGATTATGGCATCTTTGTCCTCTGTAGAGTTGGCTGTCTTGGAAGATTTGTAGACTTGATGTCACTTAAATTCTGGTGGAGCTACACCCAGGCATGGCAATGCTGCATCTCTGAGCAGCCACGGGCAGCCCTGTCCTTATCCTTTTGTCACAGTAGGAAGCAATAATATCATGTCTTATTTTGCAACAATGAAATGCTGCACTGTGCCATAGTGAATGTATCAGAGATTCCTTGGTTGATAGGTTCCTGTTGCTGGCATGGGTCGAGCAAGGGTTAAAGACCATCCACTCAGCCATTAATCTGAAACCAGCTTGAGAAAGCCGATTGGGAAGTGACAGATGGCTTGGAGAGAAAAGACAGGAAACTTTGTCCTCTGTCTCTGGAGAAAATTAGTTTCCCCCTACTGTGAGGCCCGTCAACACTGCCTTGGCTTGGAAGCAGCAGAGGTCTGCAGATAACACAAGAGAGGTCTGGGAACTTGCTGCCTTCTGAAGGGTGAGGGACTTAGTGCAATGAAATCCCATACCTTAAAAAGAGGAAATTACTGTAATGGGACAGATGGAATGGTGTGCTGGTGACTACAGGGGAAAAAAAAAACATTTGGGAAGAGATTGGCTATTCCCATCCTGGGGCCTGGCTATGAGAGTGCTAACCACTGATAGATGGTGGCATGCCAGCTGTGCAGGACAGAGGTCACCATTGCATCTAGCCAAAGACAAGAGGGGTGACAGGGAGGATCCCCTTAGGCCCAGCCTGGGACATGCCGAAATCAGCTGAACAGCAGAAGAAAGCAGTTCAGTTTTAAAGGGGCACCCTCTGACTGAAGAGGGCCACCAGTAAACGATTATGCTTCTAATGATAGAGCCCCCTGCATAATGATACAGGGGTCTCTCCTAAAATGTCAACCGCCATCCATAAACACTCTGACTTTCCTTTCTTCCTAAGAGAGGTATTCTAGTGATTTGCTTACCTGGTGAAAGACAGCTTGTAAGGCAATGCTTGGCATAGTGGGCTTTCAATAAAATAAAGTTTCAGCATGACAGAGATAGGTACAGAGTCTGAAATGTCATTAGGAAGAGGCAACAAGGGCAAGTAAAGAGACAGCTTGCTTTCTAAGACCTGTACAGAAACCTTCTCCTTTTGTGAACAAGGTGCTGGTGACCTGCCACTGGCTTCTACACTGCATAATTTGTTGTTTGCTTTCATTTTCCCTGGCTCAATATTAGCTATTTCATTATTCATTGTTGCCCTCCGCCCACAAAAGCCAGCCCAGACAGTATATGCATTGCTGTCAGCTACTGTCGGGTACATATGTGTACCCTACCAAGCTTTACAGTGTCTCAGTTACAGTGTCTAGTTGTCCTGAGGTATGGCTCTACCAAACTACTCATCCCCAAGTTGGCAATGCATGGGAGATACTGCCATAGCTTGCATTGCACTAGGAGGCAAATCCTTTGCGAAGATTCCAAATCAATGTGGATTCATGCTCGGATCACTGATGCTCTAACTTCTATAGACAGAAGTCTGTGCTTTGCTTCCCACTCGATTACCTGCTGGTGGCTGCAGAGCTCCTTACCTCTTTTCCAGTATTATTGGCTGCTTGCTCTTTGAATTTTCCTGCTAGCTGAGCCACTGAAGGTGATGCCGACTTGTCCACCTCTGAGTTGGTCTCTGCTGGCCTGTTCTGACAAATCGATAACAACAAGTTATGAGCAAAGGCTGGGAAAAGCAAGCAGGCTAGAGAGAAGCCTGCATATGTGTTATAAAGTTCAAGAGTAGGCAGGGACTCAAAGCAGTTTCTCACATCTGGTATCAATCATCCAGTCTGAGAGGAAGAGGTTTGAGAAGACAGGACCTAGCAACATTTTCAAATATCTCAGAAAACCAGTAATTCACGCAGAGCCTTTCAGGTCTGAAGAGCTAAAGAGCCTACACTCAGTGTTTTTCACTGGAAGCAAACTAAGTATTTCAAGCCAAATGTCTGTTCCCTGTCTTTTCCTTGCAGTGCAGATGGAGCGGGGCAATAAACGATGTTCCCGTACACCTTCTCAGCCCTCCCAATCCCCTTTTTACTGCCCCCATCACCAGCGCCCTTCCTTTTCCAGTAGCTCTGCTGTGAGAAGCCATTCCCCGCCCTCACAGCAAGCCAGCATCTGCTTGGGGATGTCCCTGTGCTGTTCTGCTTTTTTGGCAGTGAAATACTCAGGCGGGTGGCGGGGATGGAGGAAACACGAGAGCTGAGAGAAGCTTCCCCTCCCCTGGGTTGACAACAGGCTGAGAAGCAGGAGGCTTGTTGGAGATTGGATGGTGCGGCTCTTCCCACAGCACACAGCCCTGGTGTCCTCCCACATTTACCTTCATTTTTTTTTTGCTGTGTATCAAGCAATATGAGTAGAAAGGCTCAAAATCAAAGTTGATAAAAGGAAACCTTTGTTCTTCATCTCTAGTATCTGATGCCAGCGAAAACCGAACCAGAGGAACTGAGAACAACTAACCAACAATCCTTGTTTTGTTGGAGGTGGAGACCTCAAAACAACAAACCAGGCTATGAACCATCAGCAAGGAACCTCATACCTCCGCTCCCTGTACCACCACCATGAACGCATGACCAGCACCACACTTCTCACCCCTCTGCATCAATACTCTTCTGTTTCTCAGTCAGAAAGTTTCCCCAAAGGCTAGAGGAATACATTTTCGCTTCTCCAAAGACTCCAGCAGAGCCCTTCCTTCTCCCTTTACGCCGCTCTGCCTGGGAGGGACCTGCTGTCTCATTAACACAACCACTTCTTCAGCATTGCTGGAGGTAAAAGGCCCTTGAAACACCAACCTGGCCCACGTATGTGCTGTTTCCTTTGGGTCACCAAGCTACAGAGGCTGGAGAAATCGCTGTGGAAACTTGAAATTGTATTAAGGAAGGAATTTCTTTAGAGTCCTAGTTTCTAGACTAAAAGTAAACCAAGGAGGTTACATTAAGGATCATCTCATCATCTGCAGCTTGGAGCACTCTCTAGTCTGAAATACCTAGCAGAGAGCAGCATGGCTAAAGCCTGTTTGCGTTGTGTAAAAGGGCCTTTCCCTTCTCAGACAGCTGTAAATAAACGCTCCCAATAAATGTTATTGTCTTTCTCCCAAGCCCACAAGCCCCAGCAGATGTCTGTCATTCCCTATTTCCAGAATCCTGACTGCATCTCCCCTGTTAAACTTTCCATACACTTTGGAGCAGCTTTACTGCATCCAGCCACAAAAGCTATATCAAGCTGACTCCTCTCAGTGAACTTCTAGCACCTTCCCTTCACATTTTCAGCCTTCGTTAGAGTAATTACAGGCAGGGGAAGTGGCAGATAAGGGGAACGGAAGAAATAGTGAGGTAAGCAGATTAGCAGAGCAACTTGCTGCACACGAAAAATGATGGCTGGGCTAAGTGGGGAAGGGGAGCGGTTCCCAGCTCCAGACTGGCTCCCTGCTGTTAAGGGAGGGCAGGCTGGAAAGAGGAGGGAGCAAAGAAGGAACCTGGGGAAGGCAGGATGGACTGGGAGGCTTCGCTCAGCATACCAGCTCCCAGGATAACTGGACATGGCCGAATAGACACCTGGACTGGGACTCGAGGCTGAGGAGCTGCAGGTGCTCAGTGTCTATGGTGGAAGGGCTGCCTCCCTCATAGTCTCTTTTTCTCCAAGAGCTTCTTTCACAGCCCTTTGCCTTTACCCAGAAAAGACACTGCACTTCCTCTTGGCCTCTTTGACCTCTTGTTTTGAGGTTGTTGTGTTTTTCTTTCTTTTTTTTTTTTTTTTTTTTTTTTTGTGAGTTACAGTCTGAAAACACAGCTCCCTTTCTCTGGATCTGATGAAAGCTGTGAGGCTGGAAAGACTCCATGCGTTTCTTGTTGCGCTGGTCGCAGGCATCGATTGCAAGGCGGCTCTCGCCAGCACGAAGCTCGCCGGCCGGGTGCAGGAAGCAGTGAACATGCCATTCTAAGATTAGCACAAGTAGCCCACAGGCTGTGTCCTCCCGAAACGGCCAGCTGCAGACTCTCCGATTACGCTATGCATTTTGCAACAGGAAAAGTTGTTTCTCAGATCCTTTCTGGCAATTACACTACTGTCCTGTGTCCAGCTTTTTCTACAGCTTTTTTCTTTTTTTCCAGCTGGTGTACCAGGCTCTATGTCTTCTACTCGAGAGTGTGCTGTACCAGGGCACTTGAGTGCAAAAAGTCCTCTTCCTTGTACTGCAAGGAGAACACCATCTCCCTGACTTCCAGGGGCTGGACTGTCAGTCTCCCTCCTACTGGGAGGAAGGTGGGAAGCCTCACCTTCTCACTCTCACCCAGAGCATGTACCAGCCCTCAGCCTCTTCCACCATTAAGACACATATCTGCTCCTCTCACCCCAGAGCTCAGTGCTAGCTCTCTCCTGCTCCACAATATTAATGCAACCTGTCCCATTCCTGGTCCTTTTCTCCATCTTGGTGACATAGCCCACCACTTTTCTGAATTAAAAGGAGGAGCAGCTCTGCTCTTTTTGTTTTGGCAAAAAAGGTGAAATTACTCAGACGTGAATTTTGCGCTCTTTGCAGCCAACTGCTGATTATTTTCCTTTTCAGAAGCGTGGTCAGCCTGCATGGGCTAAAGCCAGCGAGCTAAGGTAAAAGACTTACTCCATCAGCAGTTTGGTGACTGCTACTCTGAGGTCTGTTACCGTTCCATAAAAATAAGTGTCTAAGCATTGCGTGTTATGAAAAATGTCAGACAGAGCAGCAAAATAGGAATTGAATTACACCATCAGTGTAAGTATGGCACTGTCTGCGAAAGAGGAAGTGCAACTAGCAAGTTCTCTGTAAGGGGCTTCACTGTCCTCTTCCAAGTAAGTTTATAAAATCAAGCAGATCTGAAAATGTTTTTTACCTCCATGTTTCTTCATCTGCTTTTAAAACTGAACCTGGTCCTTTTGACAGCACTGGAGAAGAAAGTTCTGCCTTTATTTGTGAGATAGATAGGTACAATCACGGCAATTCAAGCTTCTCACCAAAGTCTCTCCTTCCTTTGGGTTCAGAGTCCTTGCCTCTGTTGTGACAGCAAAACTGCTCACTGATACCCGATTCTGTAGATTGCCTGAAGGGGGGCTACTGTTCTTAGCAGAGATCCCTGCTTCTTTTACAGGCTGCCTGGCGGAAACACCACTAAGTCCCCACAGAAGTGTCCCACACTGTCCCTGCTGTATCTTTTCAAGGCACCTGGGAAGCTCTCTGACCTCAGATGCCTGGATGCTGTGACAATCAGCTCTGGCTAGCACAGTCCCAACTTCTCTGGTGACCTATTGTGCTACAAGATGCTCGGGCTGGTAAGGCTGCCTGATATAGAAGTAATAACCTCTCACAGACTGGACCCCTCAGGACAGTAATGTCATCACCTTGCTCAGTGACACTTGCCAATTCTCTTGCTAGAGCCCGTGGACCCACCATGGGGACCAGGTGAAAGAATGTGCATGTTAGAGGCCCACAGAAAAGAGGTCAAGAGACGGAAGAGTTTCTCTCAGGTGGGGAGTGTCACTGCAGACAATGAGTTTCTAATGAAATTAAAATTGCAAAGACTCCTGAGAAAAACTGGAAAGCCAGAGGTGGCTTTGGGGATGAATTTGAATGTCCTGCTGGGACTGGTGCAAAACCATGTCCAACAGCGCTCAGCTAGCATTTTTAGTCATGACCCACCCCCTTGCAATTGAAAGCTATCACGGCTCCATCTCACGGGATTGGTATCCCCCCAGTTTTGTCACTGTCCATAATACACTACTGGAAATGGTAGTCTGAAAGGGTACCAGTGGGGTCAGAAGCAGATAGTGAAGGAGAAGCTCAGGTTTGGATTTGTGTGCCTGATTTGGCTGATGAAAAGAGCAAAGGTCTATTAGCTGCCATACTGCGGAGTGTTTTGGCTTAAGCAGCTCTTAAATACCATCTGAATAACAGCAGAGATATGTACTGCCCTACTCTCCTTCCCTCCCCAGTGAATCCCCTCACTTGTCTGCTTTTGCAGTTAGCATACTTGGGCCAGACAGAACACCTTTTATCAGAGATGAAAACTCTTCACAGCGCCTTGCAAAGCTGGGGTGTTCAGTGGCTATGAAATCAGTGACTGTTACGTGACTGTTGGTACTGGTCCTGTGCACTTTCCACCTCTATTCTCATGCAGCTGCATCTAGATGTGATTTTGAGGCCAGACCATGGCCTCCACATCCCTCCCTTGCTTCTAAAGAGCTTCGCAGGAACGCTTCCCTCCTGCCAGTTCTCACACCAGTCCATCGTGCCGGCTGCCTTCCCATAACCTGCACTTGCACAGGCTCTGCAAAGCTCCCCCGTGACTCTCATGGGGTTTTTCATTGCTGCACATACAATGTATCTCAGCAAAAGCAAATATGGCAAAAATAACGACAAATATAGTGTGTCAGAGGCAGACACAATAAGGCACCCGAGGCTCAGGGATAGTGTCTCGTTCACAGACACCAGATCCAGAAACAGCGATCCTCAGCACCCAGCTCTCAACACTGAGCCACGGGAAGGCAGCTGTCAGTATGTTAGATGAAAACAAGAGAGGGTCAGTGCTTTCGGGGTGCAGTTTCATAACGTCCTGGTTTTGGCAGAGACAGCTTATATTTCCAACTCCTCATTCTCCCTTGACCTTTCCTTTCTCCCTTCCCCCCTCCCTTGCACCAGTGTGAGTTTGTGGGGAT